AATAAGATTCTATAGTAAGAGGGTTTTTTTTTCCATTATCTGTTCATTTCCTAGCCTATTACTTGACTTTTTAACTCTTTGTTAAGGTAGGGTTCTCTGTATGGGGGAGGGGGATGAACTGTCCCAAGCTTCAGGGGTTTTGTGCAGTTATTTTCAAAGACACTTCTAGGAACCTGTAAGTTTTCTGTTCTTCCAATTTGGTATGATCTAAGGAGAGGTGTTTGCTCCTCTCCTGGTCTGTGCTCTGGTCTATGAGTGACCACAAGCCCTCTTTTCCGCCCTGCAACTGTGAGGAGAGTCCCCTCTCCACTGCAACCACAAACTCTGCTATGCTATGTGCTCCTCCTCACCCTGGGACTGCCACCCAGGACTATGACCCAAATCTGCCTATGGGCAAAGCAACAGAGTCCTGCCTCACTGCTAGCAAAGAGCTCCCTGTAATATCCTTCTGACCAGTTGTTCAACTCCCTTACGATTTATGGGCTGAGAGCTCCAGAACCAGCTGCTACCACTGTTGCTGCCACTGTGGATTCAGTCACTCCCAATACTTACTCCTGGTTTCTTGGGGCCAGGGCTATGCTGGCACAGCCTGTGCTTGACTGGTCTCCACTCTCACCCAGGTGCAACTAATCTTTCCTGTTGACTTTCCAACTTGTCTTTGGCATCTGTGGGCTGAGAGGTCTGGAAACTGCCCCTGCTACCAGTTATTCAGTCACCAGTGATTCAGTTGACCAGAGACCTGCTCTGAGTTTGCTGGATCCTGGTCTGCTTTAGTGTGGCCTGTTCTGGACTGTGTGCCTATCTCACCCTGGTGCAGCAGACCTTTCCTGTTGACGTTCCAAGTTGTCTTGGGCGGGAAATTTGTTTTACTCCATCTTTTTGTGGATTCTGCTGCTCTAGAATTTGTTTAGAGTCATTTTTAAAGGCATTTGAAGAGGTTTGGGGGGAGCTCAGGTGAGTCCTTGCCTTTACTCTGTCACCTTGGCTCCTCCCCTCTAGCATTTATTATTTAATATTTTTCAAATTTTATTTTATTTTTAATTAATGGAATAAAACAAGCATTTCCATAATGTATCATAATAATAATTAAAAAGATGATTGTCTATGAAACTACAATCTATTATATGTGTATATATATATACATATACACATACACACACATAAATAGATAGATAGATAGATAGATATAGATATATATAAAACTTGTTATGCCTTTTAAAAGTGCCCTGTTATGTATAAGGGATTGTGCTAAGTGCTAGAGGTACAAGAAAAGTAAAAAAAAAACAGTCCTCACTCTCAAGGACTTCATAGTCTAATAAGAGAGACAGCATGCAAATAACTATCTACAAATAAGATGTATAAAGGGTAAATTGAGGATAATCTTAGATGGAAGACACAAAAGTTAAGGAAGATTAAGAAGGACTTCCTGCAGACAATGGAACTTTAGCTGAAACTTGAAGAACCTAGGAGGCTGGGATGAAAGAGGATCTAAGAGTAGTTAATAAGCTCTAGTGGAAGCAATTTCCTCTCTAGATATTCCCTACATGGTGAAATCTCATGTTCACAGAAAAACAAAACAACAACAACACAAAGATTAAAAACAAACAAAAGATTCCATCTTTATCAAATTATCTACTTTGAGTGAATTAATGAAATGAATGATAGATAAATCCAGTAATCTCCACTTCAGTTTTCCATTCTGATTCAACAGTTGTACATCTTAAGATTCCATAGACTGAGTGTGATAGTTCAGTGCACAGAAGCTGCTTTCTTTGGAGGAGTTACTGTATGGGAATACACACAGCTGTCTAAACCCCCAGAAGCTGTCTGGAAGCCCTGAGTGTTACACATTCTTCATTCACATAAAAGATGGAGGCATTCAGAGATGTGACAAAAAAAAATGGGACAACCCCACCTGGAAGGTTTAAGGTCTATAAACTTAATGAATTATTCATTCCTGTATGTTCCTAAGTTCTTCCTTCTGTACTAGATGTAATGATGGTAATCTTCATTTGATGCTACTGTTTTGAAATACCATATGGGAAAGAATGTGGCACAGCAGAAAGAATGGAAATTACTCTGACACAGGGTTGACGCCTGGGTATTATGTGATTCTTGAAACTGGAAAAATGATAGCTTATGTTGAGAGAAGGTACTCTATGTGTTTTCATAAAAGAATTAGTCATTTTAACATTTTTAGGTCAAAAATTGGTTCATGGAGTTTTAAAAGGTTGATCATACAATTTTTAAAGCATTCTAACTATTTTTATGAAAAAGTATGTAGTACATTCATAATTGCATCCCAAACAGTCACATGAATAATTCTTTTCTCTGGGTTATGCACACCAAAAAGTTGGGAAGTTTTTTTTAGGAACTCAAAATTTATACTTTAAATCATAAGGTTGTTTTTTGAAATATGTTAGTTGTTTCAAGTCCAGTCTCACATTAAAAAACAAACAAACAAACAAAATATTTTGTTTTAGATCAAAGGATTTAGAATTGGAAGGGACCTAAGACATCATCTCATCTAACCCACTATTCTAGATTAAGGATGGGTACTATGGAGGCCAAATGACTTCCCCAAGGTCACAAAGCTAGTAGGTATCAGAAGAAGTACTTGAACACAGGTCAAATGATTTCACACCCAACTCTCTCTCTCACCTGTGTGTACCTAGGGACATGAGTGCACACATACACAAACAGTAGGGGAGTTTTCATCATTGTGACTCTGTAGTTTGTGCGGATGTGTTCTAGTGTACTAATGCTGAAGTCAGGGCTTTTCTATGCATTTTCCTGATGTGGGTCTGGAAACAGGGATCAACCAGAGAGAGGGACAGACAGATACAAGTGTTGTCACTGAAAGTTTATATATTTCTCCTTAGCAGATTACCTAGAATTACAATAACCACAGAGTAAGTAGGCTAATTCTGTCTTTACAAATGATAAAACTAAATTTCAGAGAAGTTAAATGACTTTTCTAAGGCCACATAGTTAATAACTGGCCCAGGTAGGACTTGATTTTAGATCCTTGAACTCCAAACCTAGTTTCCTGTACACTAGAACATTTTATCTCTTTTATATTCCAAGACCACCTGCCCAAACAGCTTGGGGTTTCTGAAGAAAAATGAATGATGCATCTGGGGCCAGCATTTACAGAATACTGGCTTAACAGCAGTTGCTGTCATCTCACAAAGGGCAGGTAAATCACTTCCTAAGGAAGGCAGTGACAAATATATCACAGGAAAGCACTCATTCAAGTATTTTTTTTTATAGGAAATGAACTCTGTAGCAAAATTTATCTTCAATATAGTCCCAAATAAAATCTTTCCGTACACATAGATCCCAAACTGACTCATAAATCATGGGAAACCAGTAAGAATGAGAGCAACAAGATACATTTATGTGTCAATGTCTGGTTTCTAGTCTTTGTTTGACAACCTTTGATAACAAATTTTTGGATAAGGAAAAATGACTCCCAAAAGAATGGAACTGCTCATATAAGAATTTTTTAATTAATTTTCATACTTGAATTCTCATATCATGAAAGAAGTTGAAATAAAATATCTGTGATTAACTTCTACTGAATAATGTGATACATATGTACAATGTGATGTCATCTATAAAATGCTGTGCTTAGAATGTGAAGAATTGTGTTCAAATCCAGCCTCTGACTTATACTAGCCGTTTAACATGTCTGAGTCACAGTTTCATCATATATAAAGTGAATGGGCTGGACTTGATTGCCTATAAGGCCCCTTTGAGTTCTAATTCTGTAATTCTCTGATTAAAGAAATAACTTGACTGACTAGGATTAAATATTTAAGAATCTCCCACCTCAACCTCAACTTGAATAGACTATTTGCCTGGGACCTAAAGATGTCAACATGACATAAGACTTAGGGAAGACTTCACAATAGTTGTCTAGTACTTTAAGGAATAGGAAAAAATAGGAATTTTTTCTGCTTGAGATCTGGGGGACTACTTTAAAAAAATTGGTAAAATTGTATAAAGGCAATTCATTCTTAATGTTAGGAAAATCTTCCAAACCCATAAAGACACCCAACAGTGGCCTGGGCATCCAAGGGTGGGAGTGGGCTCCCTGTCACTAAAGTGTTTCAAGCAGTCCTTGGAGAATATGTTGTTGAAAAATGTAAAAAGTATCCTTGATCAGATATGGGTTGAATAAAACTATCTCTGGCATCATTCCCAGCTCTGAAATTCTATGATTCTGTGATTCCTCAAGAGTTTAAGGTCCCCGAGATTTCCAATGATGCCTATTACTCGCCCTCCCATATTCTGCAATCCTGCCAAGCTGGCCTTGTCACATACAACACTCCTCCCAGTTCCATACTTTTGCACTAGTAGTACAATGGGACAGATCATTGGGCCTGGAATCAGGAAGACCTGAGTTCAAATCCAGTCTCAGATACTTTCCAGCTATGTTACTTCAGACAAGTCACTTATGTTTGCCTCAGTTTCTTCAATTGTAAAATGGAGATAATAATAGCATCTACCTCTCAAGGTTGTTGTGAGGGTCAAATGAGATAATATCAGTAAAAAGCGCTTATCACAGTGGCTGGAATCTCCCCCTCCTTGCCCCCACCACCAGCTGTTCCCCAAGCTCAGAATTTCATGGTCCTTTCTAATATCCTCTCTTCACAGCATCTGTTTTTTCCTTTGTGATGGAGGTCAGGTACCATCTTTTATATGAAGAATTTTCTGATGCACACTATTGCTAGTGTCCTCATTCTTAAACTACCTTTTATTTAACTAATTCGTATATATTTATATTTATTCACTTTACAATATATGTATTCATATAACCATTTGTTGTCTCCCCTAATTAGATATTGTTTTATTCTTTGTGCTTAAACACATAGCCCATAGCACAGTACATAGTACCTAATAGGCTTCAGCGAATACTTATTGGTCAATGTTGTCATTAACCAGTGTTTTCTCTCTTCCCCATCTTCTTATCCCTCCTCCCTTTGCTATTCCAGAGTGACTATTCAAGTGACACAGAGAGCGAGGACAACTTTCTGATGATGCCTCCACGGGATCATCTGGGCCTCAGTGTTTTCTCCATGCTCTGCTGCTTCTGGCCTTTGGGAATTGCTGCCTTTTACTTGTCCCATGAGGTAATGTAAAAACACAATCACGGTGCAAAGCTCAGTTCTCTTACCTCAATGCACACGCCTGATGAAGTTTTTAGCAGTGTAACCTGAAGTGACCTCATTCAACTTGTGTCTGAGGGAAAGGGAGATACGCACTTGTCAGAGGAAAAATCTGGAGAATAGGGCAAAGCAGGTAAGCCCAGGGCAGATGAAGAGTGCACTTAGGGAATAAAGACTGAATTACTTTTGAGTATGTTCAATATTTCATCATCCCTTAGCAACTATAAAAGTCTTCTTTCTTCACTATCTTGCCATTACCCTTTAGAAATATTTGTAAGAGGGCAGCTAGGTGGCACAGTGAATAGATCTCTGGCCTTGTAGTCAGGAGGACCTGAGTTCAACTCCAGCTTCAGACACTTAACACTTACTAGGTGTGTGACCTTGGGCAAATCACTTAACCCTGATCGCCTCACCAAGAAAAAAAAAAAAGAAAATAATATTTTTAAGAACAGGAAAGCTTGATAAATCTTTTATGTATATATATATATATATACATATATATATACATAGATACATGTTCATACATATGTACATATACACATATATATATAATCATAATAATTTCATTTATTTACCGCTTTAAGATTTACAAAGTGCTTTACACATGCTATCTAACTTGATCTCATAACAACCCTCTAAGATAAATGCAGTCACTATCTCCCTTTTACAGATGAGTAAACTGGGGCTGTGGGGGTCACTTTCCCAGAGTGACAATGATATTAAGCGCTTAAAGAAAGATTTGAATTCAGTTCTTCCTGAATTCTAATCCTCTATCCATTAGGTTGCCTAGCTGCACACCTCTGAACAGTGAAAATAAAGTCATCCTTAGGACAGCTAAGGGGCACAGTGGATAGGGCACTGAACTTGGAGTCAGGAGGACCTGAGTTCAAATCTGACCTCAGACACATAACAGTCACAAGCTATGCGACTCTGGGCAAGTCACTTAACCCCAATTACCTCACCAAAAATAAATAAATAAATAAATAAATAAATAAATAAATAAAATAAAGTCATCCAATTGCTGAGGGTGATATTAAAATAGCCTCTATTTCTGAATAACTGTTCAGACCCACTAACAGGTACCCAGTTGAGAAGGTAAGAGGTCCCCCATTAGGCAATGTACTGCGGTACAACAAAGTTGTAATAAGGAAGACTAAAAGAAAAGTGGTTCATTCAGGTTTTTATAAAGGATAAAGGGGTGGGAATTGGCTATGGTCAATAATCCCAGATGCATTGGTTGTGGGCAGGTCAGGGCCTAATAGGGCAGCTAGGTGGTGACTAGGTGCATAGGACCGGAACTGGAAGCAGGAAGACCTAACTTCAAATCTTACCTCTGATGCTTACTAGCTGTGTGATTCTGGACAAATCCCTTAACTTCTTTAAGTCTCAGTTTCTTCATCTGTAAAATAGGGAAAATAACAGCACCTACTCACAGGGTCCTTGTAAGTATCATATGCCTTAAAGTGCTATGTAAATGCTAACCATTATATAGTATGCCCTTCTCTGCCCCTAAAAGATAAAAGAATCACTTGAGGGTAATGACATCTCTATAAGCTAATGACTTTCTTTTTAATGGATAACTAGTTCTGTGTGCTGCTTGTTAAGAAGAGACAGGTAGAGATCTCTCCTGTCCCATCCATCTCCCTTTTTCTTCCAGTTGTGCAGCATGTCTCCATGGTAGTATGTGTCTTCTTAGTCATCTCAATTTTCTTTTCATTTATTGGCACATAATGATCCACAAAGCTTATAGGAGAGAAGGCAAGAAGTGTTTAGCTAGCATTCTTCTTCCTGAAGCTCCCTGCAATTTCCAGGTTAAATTGTCCCTCTTCTAAGCATAAATGTCTCTATGGCAGGGGGAGGGAGCATTCTAACCTGACATGAACAGAAACTTTTCAGAGCAAAACAACACTATGTCCCATACAACCCAATAATCTCCAATCTCCAGAGCTCAGCTCATGTTTTTTTTTTTGTTTTTGTTTTTTTTCCCAAGGAGGTAAGGCAGTGGTTAATGAGACACTTTAGAATTTGAGGAGCCTTGGTATTGGAAGTTGATAGGGAGAAGCCAGTGATTTGCTTTTTATTTCATATTCATGACTTCATATCCATTCCTGGCATCCTCATCCCAGACTGTCTGTCCCTATCAATCCCATACAGGTGTAGGAATGCTGAACACTTTCTGTTGCATGCTCTTTAAGCATAGCTGACTGGCAAACAGGGATTCCACAGCCTTGGACAGGGCTGGCCAGGATTCCCAATGGCCTTCCTTCTGGTTGGAAAAACTGGAGGGTAGTATGAGAAAGTAGAAACTAGACACTGATCACAAGAAAGTCACAAAATATTCTCACAAAAAAAGTGCAAGGAAACACACCTCCTTATCCTTAGACTAGCAGTCACATCCCCTCACTGCTTAAATTACATTTCAGAGCCTGGATTAGGTTGCTGAGGTACTCCAAGTAAAAGTCTAATGTGGCAGCATAAAAGGTGGTGAAAATGGACTGATGAAAAATAACTTTGCAAGAATATTGAATATTTTTAGATGCAAATAGCAGCATATTCAATGATGCAACTTAAATCAAATAGGAGCAGTTTGATGGTCTGTAAACCAAATGTAATGCAAATGGAATTTCCAATTACAAAGGACCAAGGTTGATATGTAAAACAAATAGAAGCTGGTGAACTTCCAGCAAAGGCTTAGAAATGTTGTCAAATTTGTTTTTAAAGGAGATTCTTGTTCAGATATAGGTTAGAGTTGAAAGTCATTGATGCCCCTTCTAATTCTAAGACTCTACATTTCTATGATTCTACTTGTGCTTCTATAGTATCCATAGTCTAACAAGAATCTTTCTTCTTACTTCTAGCCTCTAGTGATGTTCCCTGAAGGTGTATATGAAAGAGTACAAATGGGAATTTAAGTAGTATGGAACCTTTAAACTAATAAAAAGCTATTATCACTCCCTGAGTTAAAGAATAGTATAAAAATTAGTGCCATACTAGAGAAAAAATTTTATTATGGATTTTTTATTTTCATAAGAATCCTTGAAGTGGAAGGAGGATTATTGAGATTTTCTACTGGGAGCACTGTGATCTTTGCAAAAGTATTCCACAATCTTGAATTATTTCTTTTTGAAATAAAAGAAATTAAAGAGTTCTCCACTTCCTCTTTGAAGTAATGGATCAGAAAGTGTGTGTATGTGTGTGTGTGTGTGTGTGCATGTGTATGAGTTGTTTCTTTTATATAGTCATATCACATATCTATTTAAAAGCCTGCAGCAAAACCCTATTGCCTACTGAGTCAAGTTGAAATTCCTTTGACTAACATTTCAAACCCTTTATAATTTGATCCTACCCATCCTCACTTTCCACCCTGATCTTATGTGATCTTCCTCCAATCAGTCAACACAAAAAAAAATACAGTACCAAAAGGATTTTATCTTTTTTTTTTCCAGTTATCACTTAAGTAGCTCTTTGATATAACATACATATTGCCATATGCTGTGTCTCTGTCTTTGGAACACTCATATTGTCCTTACCCAAGGATTATTGCAAAAAATGTGGGAAATATATCATTTTGGAGTAATTCCCAATGTGAGAAACTAGACTAGAGCATGTCCTAGAGAGTGGCTTGAGATATATTGATGATAAATGATTGGATTAGTGTTATACAGAGAGTATCGAAGTGAGGTGGGAACTCAAGTCCTACTGACTCTATCCCAGCACTCTCCACTGCGCCAGGCTGCTTCTCTATAAGAAAATAAAGACCAAGGTTCTAATTTCTTTAGGCATATAGCTTTTTAAATTTATTTTGTCATTTTTTTTAATTTCAATGCATTAATATTTAGCCTTAAGTCTAATATATTTCTGGAAGTTTAATACCTTAGATATTTAGATGGGTTTTAGCTTTGTCTAAATATGAGTAATTTAAAAATAATCATTTTCTATGTCCATGATACATGAATCTTAGCTTTTTTAAATAGGGCCACTAGAATTATGCAAATGACCTTTCAGTACCACTAATTATTTTATAAATCAACATTTTCCATGGCACTGCATTAATGTCATTATGGTGTAAGAGAAATGTGATGTGCATAAAAGTTTAGTCATTCTTGGAATTAATTTTCTCAAAGACAAAAATCTCTGAACATAAGAGTCATTTGTACATGAATATTCAGCTTATTTCCAAACACAGGAGCACATATGTTTATCTGCCTTATTCCTTTCACAATCTATAATGATTTTCTTGAATAAGCTATGCCTGCAGTGTAAAGCAGTAAAGAATCTGCAGAGTTTCAGCCTGGCTGTTAGGCTATGTTTATCCAGTTTCGCCAATAATGAATGAATTTCAGAGACAGAGTCTCTGGGAATTGATTTGAAGGGGAGGGGACCACAGTAAAGAAACAATGTGTATCATACCAAGAGAAAAATTTTAGATTAGCTAGGTGGTGCAGTAGATAGAGTTTTGAACTTGAAATCATGGAGTTCTGAGTTCAATTCTGGTCTCAGACACTTATTGTCTGTGTGACCCTGGGAAAATAAAATTCACCTCTCTGTATCTCAGCTTCCCAATCAGCAAAATGGAGATAACTATACCATCTACTTTATATGTTTATTGAGAAGATAAATGAGATATTTTTGAAACGCTTTGAAAAACTTTAAACATTATATAAATATTAGCAATTATTCTCATTATTATTTATTTTTGAAACTCATTAAATTAATCTAAATTAATCCCTTCTGTCAAGTGAAGATATTCTGAAATCTGATATCCCCGTAAATAGAGTAATACATAACTTCTCACTTGTAAAATCCTAACCAATTGATTCAATTATTTTATTATTTGTTTCTTATTCCCTGAGTTGATACTGTCTGGTTAGAGTAAATGAATTTATTCAGTTTTCTCATGTGCAGCACATGACTGACTTAATTTTTTTTTATTTTTTTTTCACTTCTTGAGTAGTATTTTCCCA